AGGGAGGAAGGACAGTTTATTCTGCACACGTCCAAGTCTTTGCTGAGCCCAGGATCATAATCCAGCAGCCAGGGGATGCCAGGAAGGGAGGGCTCCCACCTCTGACACCCTGCAGGACGGCGGCCAACATTCTTACCGGCACAGGTGGTCGGCTCGGCACACGCTGCGCAGGTCCAGGCAGTTGGGCTTCTCCCTGTCCTCGTAGGAGCAGCTGGGCAGGATGGTCTGCCGCCGGCGCTCGGCACACGCCTGGTCCTGGCAGGAGCAGAAGAGCATGCGGTAGGTGTACTCGCTGGGCACCCGGTCGAAGAACTGGCGCAGGGCCTTGTGGCACTTGCGGCGGTTGCAGCGCTCGGTGGGCGAGATCTCCCGGTTGCAGATGGAGATGTAGGAGGAGCGCAGCTTCTTGCAGTTCTCATTCAGGTTGCAGGCCTTGGCAGCATCCAGGCAGTGGTTGCTCTTGGCACTGACCGCCGGGTCTGCCCCAGTCCCTGGACAGGGAGGGCGAGAGAGGTCAGAGGCCTGCACAGGCATGGGGACAAAACCTCACCTGCTCTCTGGGGACACCTCCCAGCATTCTCTATGCTCTGCCTCAGCTTCCTCATCTGTGAAATGGGATCACCTAACCGGGCTTCCTCCATCAGGCTCAGCCCCCCCTTCTCTACCTGCACCTACTCCTCAGGGCCCTCAGACTACCTCATGGCCTTAACTGTCATCAATAACTCCCAAATTTACATTCCCAATCAGACTTCCCCACTGAACCCCAGATTCATATGTCTACCTGCCTGCTTGCTAGTTCCACCTGGAAGATTGACACCCACATCCCAAACTTAACATGCCCCAAACCAAACCTCCTATGTTCCCCCAAGGCCGTGTCCACTCCCGGTCTTCTCCATCCCTCTGAAAACAGCCCCACCCTTCTAGAGCTCAGGCCGAAAATCTTGGTGTTTCCTTCACTCCTCTCTCATCACATACCATGTCAGAAAAATCTGGCAGTTCCACCTTCAAAATACATCCAGAATCCAACCACATATCACCACTGCTACCACCTTGCTCCAAGTCACCATGGCTGTGTGCTGGTAAGGGCCTCCTGCCCAGGCTCCCTGCTCTGTCCTTGAAATTGCCTCTCGCCTCAAAACAATTTTCTCATCACAGGTAAAGCAAACCTTCTAGAACCTGAGGCAGAGAGATAAGGATCCCAGGCCCCAAAGCTTCCAGTGACTTCCCATCTCATTCAGAGACCTTAGCATGGCCTATGGGCCTCTACACCTGTGCTGTCCAATACTCGCCACGCGTGGCCATTGAGCTTGAAGTGTGGCTGGCCTACAATGAGATGTCCACACCAGATTTCGAGTACTTCATAAGAAAAAAGTGTAAAGCATTTCACTAACAACGTTTTACTTTGATCACATGTTGAAGTGATGATATTCTGGAGATATTGTGTTAAACAAATGTGTTATAATTCATTTCACTTGTTTCTTTTTACTTTTTTAATGTGACTACTTGAAATTTTAGAATACATATGTGACATTATACAGGGTGAGGCAAAAGTAGGCTTACAGTTGTTCATATAAAAAATAATACAATAATAAATAAATAAGACTATATGAATAAGCACTGTGTTTTGCGTACTCACAACTATAAACCTACTTTTGCCCCACCCTGTATTCCTATTAGCCAGCAGTGCTCTATACGATCTTATCTCCTACTCCTTCCCCTGCTCACTCCATCCATTCCAGCCACACTGGTCTCCTTGGTTTTCTTGGAACATGCCCTGACCTCAGGGCCTTTGCACTTGCTGCTTTCTCTTCCTGGAAAGCTCTCCCCTATCCCCATGACCACACAGCTCCATTCCTCACTTCTTTAAGGTCTGTGCTCAAATGCTACTTTATCTGTATGTCCTTCCTGACCGCCCTACACATAACAAGTCATTCCCTTTACCCCTACTCCGATCTGTTTCCCCTTACTGACTTATTTGTTTGTATCAAATATAAGCTCCATGAAGGCAGGGGCTTTGTCAGTTGTGCTCACTGTGCTGTATCAATATGTCCCAGCTCCTGATGCATGGTGGGTGCTGAGTAAGCATTTGATGAGTGAAAAAATAAATGTACTTAGAACAGTATCTACTTCATAATAAGTGCTCAAAGAGTGTTGGTGAATATTATTAAGGAAGACAAGCTGACAGAAAGCAAGATCACGTCTGATCAAGTATCAATGTGGAGCCCAGCCCAGAAGTGCTCAGAAGTTAAAGTCGGGGTCAATCAACGAAGACCAAGCCATCACCCCAATAGCGTACCTCACCAGCAACAGCCCTACAAAGGCAGAAAGAGCAAACTCCCTCTCTCCTTGTAAAAACAAAAAGAGAAATAAGGCAGGCAGGGAATCAAGCTTTGTTTTCCTGCTCCTTCAATTAATAAATCTTTATTGAGGGCCTACTATATACCGGCACTTCCCCAGAGACGCAGCTAGGGACAAAGGAACAGGCCATGCAGAGAAGTCAGGGTGCTGTGGGAGCAGAGCAGGGAGCATCCTGCCCAGACCAGGGTCAGAGAAGCAGTGACATCCTTGTTGACACCTACAGGACGAGTCAGAGGAAGAAAAGAGAGTGGAAAGGGGTCCCAGATGGAGGGCACTAACAGCAGCAGGGGAGGTGACAGCACTCAGGGCGCCTGGAGGTGGAGACCAAAGGAAGGAAGGGGCAGAGATGACTCTGGAGGCTGAGCAGTGGCTTTCTGGTCACAGTGGGGCGCGTGGCCCCCCTGGCAGCTCCCTGAGCTGCTGCCAAACCACTCTGCCCCCCGCCCGTCAGGAACCCCAGGACGCCTGTCTACACGAGGCCATTCTGGAGGGATGGCCCCTAGGGAGGGTTCTCCCCGACCCGCCAGGTGGCTCTTTCCCGTTCAGTGCACCTGTCGGGATGCTGGCAGGAGGGAAGAGGGAAGCAGCCTGGGCCGAGGTGAAGGACAGAAAGAGACCCCAGACGGGCAGGGCGACAACCACAAACGGAACAGCAGCTAATTTAGGCCCACGGCTACTTTTAGGTTCCCCAGGTGCTTCGTTCCCGCTCCTCTCAGCATGTTTCTGAGCTAATGCCGGTGTAATTATAGCCTCAGTGCCTTCCATTTGGAGCTTGAATAGTGAAAGCTTTTGCTACGGGCTGGCAGATGTAAACCCCTGGGCCAAAACTTGGTAAATTTCCTAGAAAAAAAACAAAAGAAACAAAAAACTGTGGCAATAGTAACAGTAATTGCCTAGTTACCAGGAAGATGTCCCTTCTGATCCTCCCAGAGTGGGTGCAGGGGGTGAGTGGGCCCATTAACAGGACCCGCACTCCACGTGGGGAAAGGCCCCGGGAGCTGGCCTTGGCTCTGGCTAGCCTTGGCTCTGGGAGGCATGTGCCAGGGGCGGGCAGGTCGACCCGACAGCCCCTTCCCAGCCCATCACTGCCTCTCCATCCACACTAAGGTGCCCTCCCTCAGGCCCAGAAGGCTTTATTTTCCTCTTCAAGAGGCCCCACTGGGGAGCAAGGGGGAGGGACTGGATGCCAAACACCAGCCTTGCCCAGTGTGGGCCCCAGCCCCCTAAACAAAAATGTCCAAAAAGCAGGATGGAGGCGCCTGCTAGCACCACCACCCCCAACACACACACACACACACACACNAGGCCCCGGGAGCTGGCCTTGGCTCTGGCTAGCCTTGGCTCTGGGAGGCATGTGCCAGGGGCGGGCAGGTCGACCCGACAGCCCCTTCCCAGCCCATCACTGCCTCTCCATCCACACTAAGGTGCCCTCCCTCAGGCCCAGAAGGCTTTATTTTCCTCTTCAAGAGGCCCCACTGGGGAGCAAGGGGGAGGGACTGGATGCCAAACACCAGCCTTGCCCAGTGTGGGCCCCAGCCCCCTAAACAAAAATGTCCAAAAAGCAGGATGGAGGCGCCTGCTAGCACCACCACCCCCAACACACACACACTCCCACACCCCACACCCTGTGCCTGAACAGAGAGATGAGACCACACAGGAAACTGCCAGGGACTCAGCAGCTACAAATTCATCCCAGGCCTGGGCAGACCCACCCTCAGACTCCTTCCCACTCCTACCCACGTGGGTTTCCCAGGCCTGCTGACAGGAGCCAGATGGACAGACTCAGCCAAGGAGTAAATGGTAACAGCTGCCCCAGGAGAGTGAGGCGGGATTTAACCAAGCCTGGCACTTTCCAAAACCTACCAGCTCATGCCCCTGGGGACACATTCTGGCTTCTTCATCCCCTCTCTTACCCTCCTTTGGTGAGGGCAGGGTGGGGCAGGGGGGCAGACAACCATGATAGAAGGGCTACCTCACCCCAGCAAGCCTCACCCACCTCCCCTCTTCCCTCCCGGGGTGCTGCCCTGAGCCAATGACCATCTGTCCCTAGAACTTCAAACTGAATATCCAAGATTTTTGTTTGACACACATAGAGTTTCTGTCTCCCAGGTAACGCATATATCACTTCGGCCATGTTTCCAGTATCACCTATACTAACATATAATTATCTTCTTCTTTAAATCCCTTACTTCTTAAATTAAATGAAATGTTTAAATTTCTTCAGTCAACTCACTTTTTAAATTTTTCAGTACCCACCTAGATTTGTCCTAAATGATAAGATCTACGCTAGTTCTGGATTTTTCTAATATGTGTTCCAACGCACTGCTATTAAAACACAAATATTCATTCTCATGCTTGTAGCCCATTCCAGCAGCAGTGCGTGTGCACTAGAAGGGAAGTGACCAATTTAAGGTTGAGGCTCTTAAACTTTGGTGCACTGTGACGTGCTAGAACTGCCTCTTACGCACAGATGTCCAGGCCCCACCCAGCCCCACTGTATCGGGAGCTCCATGGCTGGCGCCCTTGAGTCTGGATTTCCCAAGCTCCCCACAATTCTGAGGCTGCCCTCCAAAGCTGGAGAACCAGGGACTTAGAGGAGAGGCTGAGCTGCCCATGGCCTGCTCCCCTAACATGCACACACCCTGCCCAGCTCACAATTTCCCAAATCACCCTCTGAAAAAGGCAGTTTGTGGCCTGTGTGGTCACCAGAGCATGCCCCTCGGAGCGACCTAGAGGGTCATCAAGGTAGACCCACCCTCAATCTGATGAATGGCAAACTCACTGAAAATCAATTCCAAAAAAAAATCAATTACTTTTTAATATCATTTTACATTTTGTCAAATTTTAACCACTGTCAGAATTCTTTCTTTAATTCTTCAAAAAGCATATTCATCTTATTTTGTGTTTTTAGCAGTTAAAATTTCATTATTTCACATTTGAAGGGACTTCTTCAGCCACTTTTGAGGGCTCGATGTTCTTTTAAATATAGTTTGGGTGGGTTATTTTTTTAATATTTAGGATTTTCACAGCAATCCATACAGTGGTATATCAGCTTTAATTTTGTATTCAAAACCAACATTGAGGCATTTCATATTGATGTAATACTAACTCCTTCATCTGCATTTTTTATTTG